CTGCACTGGGGCTTCGCCGAGGAACGAGGCGATGATGAAGGGGCCCCCTCGGGGCAGGATGAGAAGGAGGAGAAGGGGGAGGAGGAGGAGGAGGAGGAGGAGGAGGAGGAGGAGGAAGAAACCTCTCTTGCACTGCCCAGTCGACCTCTGGGTGGATATTGCCGAGGCGCCGAAGCGCCCTGGCGGGGCACGAGGAGCGCTTGTGAAAAATGCGTGGGTTTGCTTTCCACACCGGGCGCTCGGCCTGGAGCTGGTCGTCGTGAAGCGAGAGCGGCGGTGTCGGCACCCGTGGGAGCCGATGAGAAGCCCTCTGAGGGCACGCTGATGTCGAGCACTCCACCCCTCCGAACCATCCGCCGACCCAGACTCTGCCTCCTCCTCCTCCTCCTCCTCCTCCGCCTCCTCCTCCGCCAGCGCCGCCGTTCTGGTCCAAGGCTTCGAGCCTACTGCGAGACCACGAAATCACTTGATCGGCACATTTCTCTCCTTCCATGTGGCTGCTGGCTAGTAGCAAATCATGACTTATACTTTAGCGATTCTTTCTTTCAAGTGCCTTCATGGAGCGCATGCGAGGCTGGAGGATATATGCGCTGAAACCCCGAACCAAGGCGCTGCCCCAGGAGACCTACAGAATGTCAAGGGTTCTTGACCGCGTTGCCGCCATCGCTGGATGGAATTCGACGAAATTCAGTAATCGCAGCGCCGGCTGCGCATTCCTCCTGCCCCCGAGATGGCCACAGAAGGCAATCAGACGGATAGATACACCACCTGCCCTGCTCCAGGGTCGCGGATTGGGCGTGTATCTTCGTTTCAAAAGCACCTCCTTCTACGCGCTCACGTTGTATTTCCCGCCCAAGCCTTCTGATCGTAAGTCGGTACCAGAATATCTTTCTTGCTGTGACAAACTGAGCAGATGGGCTTCGACGATGATACAACAGGCTCCCCGCTCCGCCATCGTGTTTGTTATGGTTGATGTGAATGATGGGATGGGTTCGATGAAGCAAGATAGTCCGTGGACGAATGTGGGTGAAGAGACGGTTGGCCACGGCGTTACACATGAGAAACATATTTGGGGAGGAGAGCATCGAGTACGGGAGATGATGGAGGAGCGCGGGACGTTCTCTGCAACTTCTCAGAAGGGCGTTTCCCAGACTTCCTTCGATGCACACGGCAATTCGAGCATGATTGACCATGTTATTCTTCCACTTTCATTGGCGGCAAAGATTAAGGCTCAAGGTCCTCTGAAGCAATTGGGTAGCCGTTTGCAGTACATTCCCGATGCACAGCCTCGAGAACAGATTCCTGTTCACGTCCGTGTGGAGATCAATTTGGATTTTGGTCAACAGGAGAATTTTGTCAGGCACGGCCCGACCAGCAACCTTACCACGCCGACTGTCTGGACGGCACCCAATGGCGATCAGCACACACAGGTGAAATTGGAGATTGAGAAAGTGATGCATGCTCTTCGCGGGTCCCATGAGCGACATCAGTTCTTAACGGCGGTGGAGGTTCGCTTATCGGAAACAGAAGCGTCTACTGACATGAACTCCGCTGAGGCGATTCTTAAGCAACTTGATACAGTCCTTCGAGATGAAGGACAGAAGTTGCTCTCCAGAGATGCTCCTACAGAGACGGACCCCGACAAGGTTGAGCGTCTTCGACTTCTCGCACGTCGACGTTCTCTTCGCGAATGTATGCTTTCATGTGATCCTGCGGGGCTACAGGAGCGCAAGCAAAGACTCCTGCACATCACCAAGACATGCACCAGAGCCCGCAAACAGTGGTTCATAACGAAGAATGAGGCTTTGGTTGAGGAAATCTAGAGGAAATGTATGAATCCTGGCGGCACCGTGACCGTGCCAAAGTCCATCGTCTGAGTTTGAGGTTAGCTGGCGGCCGTCACGGAAGCGGGAAGCGGGATTTCTCCCGACTCCAGGGGGCCTTGCCCACGCAGGAAGAATGGTTTGCGACTTGGTCCAAGCCTGGCGGAGAGGGGGAGACGTCGGCTACTCGGTTGGATTGGGAGGCTCTGCAGAGGGATCGGAATGATTTCACGCGCCCGCCTGCTCCGCTTGCGTTTCGACAAGAGCGAGTGGCGCAGTCCTACCGAGACGCCATGGGCGACTTGGGCTTTTCCCAGGCCTTCTTGAAGTCAGCCTCTAAGCGAAAGGGTGCCCCTCGGTGGTCGTTGCCTGTTGAGCTTTGGGGTCTTGGGGTTGGTGGGCCCCCCGAGGAGGACCCTCGTCGCTGCGCTGGTTTAGGCTCGGAACTCCCACTGTTTTGGGGCGAGAAAGTTAGAAGCTGGCTTCACCGAGTTTTTTCCTGACCCGTCAGACTGGCCCCCTTCCCAGCTTGTGGCCCTGTAGCCAAGGTTTTGCCTTGCAGAGATGCGCGCCCCCAGGCCCCGCGGGCCGTAGAGTGGCGCGCGGGTTGGACCCTCTCGGAAAGTCTTTTTTTGAAACGGACGATGAAACGCGGTCTCCCATACATCCGCTCGGAGATGGACCATGGTTTCCTGGGGAGGCGTCGGCGTGAAGACGCCATCGCAGCCAACCTTTGCACGTCGTGGCGTTTGAATAAGGCTGGCGTTTACTGGGTCGACTCGCTGAAAGGTCTTAGCAACGCATTCGCGTCTCCTGCATGGCCGACTGTTGATGAGGCCGTTCTCGGAATGGCTCGCGGATCAGAGATACGTTCCTGTCAGCAGCGTTACACGCTTGCGTGCGCGTCTATTCCAGCAGAGAAAGGCGACCTTATCCTGCGCACTGGCTGCGGCACGCTCCAAGGAGATCCGTTCGCTGTCGCGTCGTTCGTCCATGGCTTTCGCCCGTCGGTCGACCGCTGGATTGCGAGGCGTCGCCAGGAAGACAAATTGGAGCACATGCTGACGGCGGAATGTGAAATTATAACCCCATGCAGCGTCTACTTAGGTCTGACAAAATTTGCCGATGATATGTTAAAGAAGCTCGCGCTCGGTTCGCGATTTCCCTTCGATTTGGCCAGGAGCAGTCTGAAACGTAACGATGCTTGGATTGCGGAACTTGCGAGGATTGGTCTCAAGCGCAATCCTAAGAAGCAGGAGGCCTTGTTCTCTGCCCCCCCTCCGCGAAGCGAAGGGTGGCTAACTTGTTGCGCAGTCAGGGGCGCGGCTGCGGCGAGTCTGTCCGATATTTAGGCCCCCGCCTCACCCCCACTCAATCCTTCCAGATTGAACTCGGCAAACGGATTCAAGCCGCGAGGACGGCGCACTTCCGCCTGGGACTTTTTCTGGCAGATGCCCAACATTCCATTTCGCTGGAAGCGATGCGCGCTGTTATGCCACGTTGTCAATTCCGCTCTCTCTGCAGTGGAATGCTTTAGCCCGAGCGCAGGTCAGCTTCGTCAATAAGAACTTGCGGTTGCTGGACTTTGTAGACGTGGCATGAGAGGTCGAGCGAGCTGGGGAGACGCGCATCAGGTTCGCTGTTTGACCTCCCAGCAAGTGCTCGATTACTGGAAGATCATTCCTCTCGGCACCGAGCTCCGAGTGCGTAGGTTTAAGTGGTTTCAAAACATGTGCGCCTTTCCCGAATCTCACCGACAGCTGATAGGAGCATGGCTCGGCAAGGTTGTGGGCGAGGACGTTTTTGGCGAGTTTTGTTCGGTTCGACCTGATGCGAATCCGTGGGCTTTGAGAGTGCACGAGGACATTGAGCAGCTTGTGCTTGTGTCCGAGGAAGCAGCCGACCTGTGGCAGGATGTCCGCGGGGGGGGGGGGGGGGGTAAAAACTTGTTTCTTCCCGATTTCTCGGACAGGTTTAAGCGAATTGATGTCTCGATTATTCGAAGCTCCGCCCTTTCTGTGAATATCCCGTGTGAGTCCCTCACTGGATCCCCAGAGGAAGCGGAAGTTAGTGCCCTTTTAATTGAACGGTGTCATGTTTGCCCATGGGACGACTCGTCAGGTCCTTGCGGTGCCACTTTTACATGTAGGTCCGGCCTAGCCAATCACATGCGCATTGCACATAATAGTGTGAAACTATCGCATGCTATCACTGCAACGATTCAATGCGTTCTCTGTGAGGAAGTCTTCGGCGAGAGGCCCACGGCTTGTAAACATCTCGAATGGGGCCCTTCATCACGGACGATGTCTACGAAACAAAGCCTCTACCCTCGCGGAGCTCCAGGTCCCTGACAACATTCAGCGCAGAGTTTGTGGCTCGACATTCCTAAGGCCTTCAGAGTACAATCGACGCGCCCTCAGTCATCTCCAGCATGCCCCCTGCGATCGAGCTGGACGCGGCGACGTTCGGCGAGGACGAGCTCCCCCCCTGGGCTGGCGCGGTCATTGCGCCCAAGCGGGCCGCCGCAGAATCCGCCGACAGCGCCGGCTCGCAGGCGAAGCAGGCGAGGGGCAACGGCAAGGGAGAGCAATCACTTCTTCGCAAGGTGGCTGCGCTTTCACCGGCTACCGCTCGCGAGCAGGCTATGCTCTCGTCCGTCGTGCTGTCGACCTTCCTGGCGCCGAGCGAATCGTACTCGGCCAAGAGCGGCTTGGCGGCCAACAAGGTCTACTCGGACACGGTCAAGAATATTCACGATCGCAAGGAGGCGGGCGAGGAGGTCGATCTCGCCAGTTCAGGGCCTCCGTTTATCACGGCGTTCTTCCTCTCGGCGCGCGCCACGATGACGCAGGGATCGGATCAGGTGCAAAAGGCCGCCACGGAGTTCTTCCAGAAGTATCTCAAGGACCAGACGCCGCAATACATGGCCTCGTTGGCCAGGCAGTTCACCGCGCGGGCCCCGCGCGGCCCTGGCAGCAAGCGGACGCAGGGCAAAGTCAAGCTGACGCTGGCGCTGGGTCCCAACCCCGGAGCGCAGGCGGTGAACACGTTGATAGACTTGGCGCTCGCGGAGTGCAAGGCCGCACAGATGGCGGGGGCTGCGCCGAAGGGTCCTCTCGAGCGCCAGATTGCGGCGGCACTGAAGCGCGCGTGACTATCCCTGAGGCTTTTGCCACGAGTGCTCGATATCGTGAGCTTGTGGCCAGAGGCGTGCTAGGTCAGCCAGCCAAGAATTTTTGGTGGCCTTGCATGCGGAGGAGAAGGGCGGGGGGGGGAGTTGTCGCCGTCGTCGTCATGGGCGGGGGAAGGGATCCAAGTCTTGAAGTGCTGCTAGTTCCAGCGGGGTCGACGTGTGGACTTCCACGCCGAGTCGTTCCCCGCGGACTAGCGGCTATGTGGCCGCCGCAGGGCCACGACTGAAAGTCGAGAGAGTTGGCAGCTATGCCGCATAGGACCATGTTTTTTTTTACCCTGGAAGTTGCGCCTTCCGCTCCATATTCGTTCGGAGGCGGGCTTCGCCTTGCTTCCACTCCGTTGTGTCGACAAGAGAAGTTCGTCAGGCACGGCCCAACCAGCAAACATTCGGAGGCGGGCCTCGCCCTGCTTCCATTCCATATTTAAGCGGCGTGGCTGTCTGTCGCGATGCAGTCAAAGATCGATGAACTGGTCCCTAGTGCTTTCGAATCGAATCGAATCGAATCGAATCCTCCTCCGCCTCCTCCTCATCCTCCGCCTCCTCGTTACTGGGCTGCTCAAACAGCAGGTCATCAAGCGGATGCCAAAAGACGTCGCCTTCCCACGAAGGCGTCGGCCCAAGTTCGGCAAGGGCCTGGCGATCTGAAGCTGCCCTGGCCGCCAGCCTCGCTCCTTCAGACGAAAAGGCTGCGGAGAAATCTCTGACATCCCAGGAAAAGCCTCCGGGCTCGTGGACGACCCAAGGTCCCTGGAAACGAAGCTCGGTCTTGGCGGCTGTGACGATCAGCGCGGCCACGGGATCCTTGACCTGAGCCCAAGCCTTGGGTTTCAACGAGAGGAGGGACCCAGCCGCAGAAAAGTGCTCCAGGACCCGGCTCCCTCGCACGTCAGATTGCACGATGGAGGCGCAAGTCGTGACGGCGTCGGCCGACAGCTGTGCTGGGGGGTCACGACGCCAGGGCCCCACGAGCAACCATCGCAGCGAACCCAATCGATACGATGGGGGCGGTCGTTAAGTCATGCGTCCAGGAGGCTTCAGACCCTGGAGGATTCCTTGTCTGAGGAGGGCAGCGGTGATATCCACGGCCAAGCCACACTTGATGTCCAGCAAGCTTCCAGACCCTGGATTCCTTCACTAAGGGTTTGGTATCGACTGCCGCCGCCGTACCCCTTCTTGGGCAGGCGGCCACCCCGAGGGGCTCGAGTCTCCCGTCTGCCAGGCCCTGCACGCTGGCCCCCTCCCCGAGGGCCGGAGCCGCGAGACCGTGCTCCGAAGCTGCCGCCGTCCGAGCTCCCGCCTCCTCCTCCTCCTCCTCCTCCTCCTCCTCCTCCTCCTCCTCCTCCTCCTCCTCCTCCTCCTCCTCCTCCTCCTCCTCCTCCTCCGCTCCCAATGGCTGCCGAAGACCCGCGCGTGGTATGCGGGCACGCGCCGCCTGGCCCCGTCCGCGGCGTCTCCGCCCGGGTCTCTGCAGACGTGGCCGCGCTGGGTCGTGCCGAGGCCGCACTCCGATACCAGGCCTGCGGCCGTGGAGGCCGCGGGGGCGAGGGTGCCGACGTTCTGCCACGAGATTCGGGAGGCCTTTTTCTGCTGTGTGGTTTGGTTTCGCCACTCCCAGGCCTATCTGTGCCTCATGTACCACGGGGCGTGGAGGAGGAGGAGGAGGAGGAGGAGGAGGAGGAGATGGAGGAGGACGAAATGGAGGAGGAGCTGGGGGATGATGATGATGATGATGATGATGATGATGATGATGATGATGATGATGATGATGATGATGATGATGATGATGATGATGGTCATGATGGTGATGATGATGATGATGATGATGATGATGATGATGATGATGATGATGATGATGATGATGATGATGATGATGATGATGATGATGGTGATGGTGATGGTGGTGATGGTGATGGTGATGGTGATGGTGATGGTGATGGTGATGGTGATGGTGATGATGATGATGATGGTGTTGCTGAGGATTATGGTGATGATGATGCTGATGGTGCTGATGATGAGAATGAGTATGATGTTGATGATGATGCTGATGATGATGCTGATGGAGATGATGATGATGATGACGCTGATGCTGATGATGATGCTGATGCTGAGGCTCATGATGCTGATGATCATTGTGATGCTGATGCCGATGATGATGATGATGATGCTGAGGCTGATGATGATTGTGATACTGACGCTGATGCTGATGATGATGCTGGCGATGATGATGATGATGATGATGATGGTGATGATGATGATGATGATGATGAAGATCATGATGATGCTGACGATGATACTGAATATGACTATGAGGATGATGGTAATGCTAACGATGATGCTGCTGATGCTGATGCTGATGATGATGATGATGATGGTGGTGGTGATGATGATGATGATGATGATGCTGATGCTGATGCTGATGCTGATGATGATGATGATGATGATGATGATGATGATGATGATGATGATGATGATGATGATGATGATGATGATGGTGGTGGTGGTGGTGGTGGTGGTGGTGGTGGCGCTGGTGCTGATGAGGAGGAGGAGGAGGAGGAGGAGGACGACGACGACGAGGAGGATGAGGAGGACGACGACGACGACGACCACGCCGAGGAGGAGTAGGAGCTGGACGCAGGAGAAGGAGAAGGAATAGGAAAAGGAGGAGAAGGAGGAGGAGGAGGAGAAGCGGAAATATAGACAGCAGGACGGAAAAGCGAGCAACAGAGCCAGCGGAACGACCCTGCACCGGCTCCGTCGCAGCTTAGTCGATCAAGCCATCTGCCACGTTGGGGCAGAGGGGCAAGAAGGGGAAGGGGAGGAGGAGGACGAGGAGCAGCAGTACCATTGGCAGCATGATGCTGATCAGAAGGATTATCCCGGCAAAGCAACCTAACAGCGATGTGTAGGAGCATATTTGGAAGCATTCCCCTTAAGATTCAGATGAGAATCCAGTTGTAGAATTCCGCTGTTCTCGCAGTCGTAGTCGCATTCGCGATGACAGTCGCAGTGGCAACGGCAGTCACAGTCACAGCCTCAGCCTCAGCCTGCCTCAGCCTCAGCCTCAGCCTGCCTCAGCCTCAGCCTGCCTCAGCCTCAGCCTCAGCCTGCTTCAGCCTCAGCCTCAGTCTGCCTTCAGCCTCGGCCTCAGCCTCAGCCTGCCTCAGCCTCAGCCTGCATCAGCCTCAGCCTCAGCCTGCCTCAGCATCAGCCTGCCTCAGCCTCAGCCTCAGCCTGCCTCAGCCTCAGCCTCAGCCTGCTTCAGCCTCAGCCTCAGTCTGCCTTCAGCCTCGGCCTCAGCCTCAGCCTGCCTCAGCCTCAGCCTGCCTCAGCCTCAGCATCAGCCTGCCTCAGCATTCAAAATGTGGCCCGGGAATGGAGTTCTGGGAACTCGAAGAACACGAAGTGGCCTACAGTTGGCTCCGGGCATTCAAAATCATGCCCAGGAATGGAGTTCTGGGAACTCGAAGACCACGAAGTGGCCTACAGTTGGCTCCGGGCATTCAAAATCATGCCCAGGAATGGAGTTCTGGGAACTCGAAGGCCACGAAGTGGCCTACAGTTGGCTCCGGGCATCCAAAATGTACGCCGGGAATGGAGTTCTGGGAACTCGAAGACCACGAAGTGGCCTACAGTTGGCTCTGGGCATCCAAAATGTACGCCGGGAATGGAGTTCTAGCAGCGCCAAGAGCGTTTTTGCGAGGATGTCCCAGGCGATTTGGGCTTCGACGGCAGCCGCCCCGGGTCCCGCCCCGACCCCCCTGAGGAGTCATGATGCTCTCTTTTGACACCACTAGAAACCTATCAGTCTTCGCTGTTAGGTAAAAAGCAGGAGGAGGAGCAGGCAGCGACTTGGATAAGGAACGTGACAGCATGCGGCCACGTGCGAGGAGGAGGAGGAGGAGGAAGAGGAAGAAAAATAAGAAGAAGAAGAAGCGGAGGAGGAGGAGGAGGAGGAGGAGGAGGAGGAGGAGGAGGAGGAGAAGGAGGAAAAAGGAAGAAGAGGAGGAGGAGGAGGAGAAGCAGAGGAAGAGCAGCAGCAGGACGCGACTCCGCCGCAGCAGCGGCGGCCAGCGGCAGGCGCGAGAGGCGGAGCTGCGCGGACTTTCGACGCGCCGCGCGGACGGCCGGAGTCGGCCCGCCCCACCGCGGGTGGCGCACACCCCAGGCAGCGCCACGGAGGCGGAGCTGCGCGAGGCCGCGGTCAGGCGGCGGGCCCCGGGGGCGTCAGGGGAGGGGGGACGCTCTCGCTGTCAAGGAGGAGGAGGCAGGCGCGAGAGGAGCTGCGCGGGAGGAGGAGTCGGGTGGAGCTGCGCGAGGTCGAGGAGGAGGTGGAGGAGGAGGAGGAGGAGGAGGAGGAGGAGGACGCTTTCGTCGACGCTTTCGTCGTGTCGAGGAGGAGGGGAGGAGGAGGAGGAGGAGGTAGAGGAGGAGGATGCAGAGGAGGAGGTAGGAGGAGGAGGAGGAGGGAGGAAGAGGAGGAGGCAGAGGAGAGAGGGGAGGAGGAGGAGGACGGTTTCGTCGACGCTTTCGTCGTCGAGGAGGACGGCGCAGAGGAGGAGGAGGAGGAGGAGGAGGTTAGAGGAGGAGGAGGAGGTCAGAGGGAGGTAGGTAGAGGAGAAGGACGAGGAGGAGAGGAGGAGGAGGACAAGGAGGAGGAGGAGGGAGGAGGAGGGGACGGTTTCGTCGACGCTTTCGTCGTCGAGGAGGAGGACGGCGCAGAGGACAAGGAGGAGGTAGAGGAGGAGGAGGCAGAGGAGGAGGTAGAGGAGAAGGAGGAGGAGGAGGAGGAGAGGAGGAGGAGTGGAGGAGGAGGAGGAGGAGGAGGAGGAGGAGAAGGAGGAGGCTTTCGTCGTCGAGGAGGAGGACGGCGCAGAGGAGGAGGAGGAGGAGGAGGCAGAGGAGGAGGAGGTCGAGGAGGAGGAGGAGGAGGAGGAGGAGGTCTCCCTCCTTCGAGGATGCGCATCGGAGGAGTGGAGGGAGGAGGTCTGCGGAGGAGGGGGGAGAGGGGGGGGGGATCTGACGCTCTGTCCCCCGATCTGGCCTGCCTAAGCTGAGGAGCTCCTGCCCGTTGTGGAAAAACTTGTGGGTGCCAGGCCTGCGCACGCTGGCCTTCCTCGGATTGCCTGGTCCTGGAAGCCTTGAGACGGGGGTCCATGCAAGCGGGGGTCAGCCAGAGCGCCGGATCTTGCGGGATCCTGCGGAGCCAGGGTTGCATTGACCCAGGCTTGAGCGCAGGATTCTGCAGGATCCTGTATGCTCTCGCACGATACTGCAAAGCCCGATTGACCTGGGCTTGCATTGACCCGGGTCAGTAGATCCCCGATGGTCTCAGGAGGGGGAAAACATACGACACCAACAATCTTAGAATCCACGGAAAATACGGGAAAATATGGGAAGTGGGTGGGAAGACGAACGTCCCGAAAAGATTGACAAATATTGGGAATATTGGGATTTGTGCTTCTTGAGTTGCGTGTCCCTGGGCCCCTTCATGGTCGTGGTGCTTGATTGCATGATTCGGGTTCCTTGGTCTTGTTTTTTGATGGCCTGTGTGAGGTTGCTGGGTCTTGGTGCTTGACTGCCTTTCTCGGGGTGTTGCTTGGTGCTTGATCGCCTTTCTCCGGTTCCTTGGTCTTGGTTCTTTGCTGAGTAGCATTGCCAAAGATTGCCTGGCAATGCCAAACAAAGCAAAGCAATGCCAAGCAACGCTGTGCAATGCCAAGACATGCCAACCCATGCCAGTCAATGCCAAGCAATGCCGAGCAGCGCTAAGCACTGGCAAGCACTGCCAAGCAAACTAGAACAACGCAACGCAATGCAAAGCAGCGCAAGTCAATGTCAAGCAAGGCGAAGCACTGCCAAGCAAAGCAGTGCAAAATAATGCCTTCCTTGCCCAGCTACTCTCAGGAAACGCTCCCCTACTTGGGGTCGCGCTGGGCTCCTCGTTGGTTCTTGGAGGTTCTCTCGCCTCGAGATGATTTCCAACAGCTGCGCCTCGTCGAGAGCTCTTTTGGGGGGTGCCCGAATCGTCCTCAACGGGCCGCTGCAGGCCCGAGTTGTGACACGAAAACCATGAGGCTCCAGGGGGTGTGAGGACCAGGAGTGTGTAGATAGCATGGGGGCCCAGGGGTCGAGGTTATTTGCTGCTCTTCTTTTGGAGCCTCCAGGAGGATGATGATGATGATGATGATGATGATGATGATGATGATGATGATGATGATGATGATGATGATTATTCGATTGATGGTGATGATGATGAAGATTATTAAGATGACGATGCTGATGATGATGATGATAATGATGATGATGACGACGATGATGATGATAATGATGATGCTGATGATGTTGATGATGATGATGGTGATGATGATGATGGTGATGATGATGACGACGACGATGACGATGATGATGATACTGAATGTTATGATTATTACCGCTTTGATGAGGAGTAGAATGGTGATGATGATGATGGTGATGATGATGATAATGATGATGATGATGATGGTGATGATGATGGTCATGATGCTGACGATGATTCTGAAGACGATGATGATGGTGCTGATGATGATGCTGGTGATGGTAATGATGATTAGAATGATGAGCATTGAGATAGTCATGGTGATGATGATGGCGATGATGGTGATGATGGTATGGTAATGATGAGGGGGCCGCCCCATGTGCAGCAGGGTGGCAGGTGCAGGATGAAGGTTGCAGGAAGAGGAGAATGAGGATGAGGATGAGGATGAGGATGCTGATAATATTAGAATGATGATGACAGTGAAGACGATGATGATGATGAGGAGGAGGAGGAGGATGAGGATGGCTATGGCGATAATTATGATAAAGGTGATGGCCATGGTGATGCTGATGATGGTGATGTTGATGATGGTTGTGATGGCGATGGTGGTAGTGATGATGCTGCTGATGATGCTGGTGGTGATGAGGCTAATGATCACCACAATGAGCATGATCGTGATCATGAGACCATGATCATGATCATGATCATGATGGTCATGGTGATGGTGATGATGATGATGGTGATGATGGTAGTGTTGATGATGCTGATGAGTGTGGTGATGATGCTGATGATGATGATGATGATGATGTGTTCTCTCGCCCTGCTGATGCACTCGGGCGCACTGTGGCACGGATGCTCGGCCCGCTTGGGACTTGCCTAACCCAGGTGTGAGCTCGCGGGCTTAGCCTTCTCTGGCCAAAACGCCGTCTCGTGCTTCATGTTTTGGAGCCTCCAGGAGGATCCCCCCTCTCCTCGCCGCGACTGGATTCCCCTCGGAACACTGCCTCAGGATGCTTCCAGTGGGAGCTCTGGGGGTCCGTCGTTGGCCCCCGCCTGCCTCTTCTTCCTCCTCCTCCTCCTCCTCCTCCTTCTCCTTTCCTCCTCCTCCTCCTCCTCCTCCTCCTCTTCTCCCTCCTGATCATGATCATGCTGCTCATGCGACTGCTGTTCCTCATCCTCCCCGCCC